CGAGGGGACTGGTGTGCAGGAGGCTCCGCAGGACTCCCGAGTGACCGCGTAGCTGGTGCACGACACAAGCTGCATCCCAGCCCCGTCCTGTTAGTGCTGTGCTCCTCTTTGCTTTGAAATTGCCTGGGTTTGTTGCTTTCAAAGTTACTAAGTCTCCCTTTTCTTTCCTTCCTATCTCCATGGCTTTTCTCTGCTTCCAGACTGGCCAGAATGGATATCTCACCGACAGCAGGTCAGTACTGGTTCGCAGACACTGTTTGTGTCTCTGGTTTCTCTCTGGAGGACCGCAGGACTCTGTAATGATGCTTTTTTCTGATGTTAACCGACAGAATCTCCAAAGAAGGCTTTTCTTCTAGTTCTCACAAACGGAGGCAGATTTTTAGGTATCTCTGTGTGACTTATTTTGTACATTGTCCTGCTGAGTAAGTTTGCCCCATGCATGGCTGCTTGTGAAGTTACTGAAGTTGTATTTTTTGCAACATCAATTTCTGAGTCCTTTTTTTGCTGATTCATCAATTAAAGCGGAGGGGTGGAAGGTGGGAACGGGGAAGCCAGAGTGTTCCAGCAGTTCTCAAACCATTCCACCTCTTGTTTCCCAAAAGCAGAGGAAAGCTCCTGCCCTTGCAGTGCCCGGCTCAGCAGCCGGTTCAGGTGGGGTTGCCCCTAATCCCCGGTTACAGAGGCTGGAGTGGTGTCAGGGAAGTGTCTCAGGCTTCCGTTCCAACCAGGGTACCCTGCAGAGGGCACTGGGAACGTCTTGGAGCAGCATTTTCTTACCCAGTAGTTTTCCTGGGGATGACGGGGCTGGAAGGATGTCCTGGAGTCGGCGTGTGGCAGTGGTGTCCAGGGCACGGGGGGACGGTGTTCAGATCAGCCGTGGAGCTGTAGTAAAACTCACCCAGCGAGTGGCAAAAAAAAAAAAAAGTTGCTGCTGGGATTGCAGCGTTAGGAGCTGAGCTGCAGCCTGGGCTGTCATGCCCCGTCCCTGACGAGCTGGGTAACCTGCTCTCTCTGTGGTTCCCGTTGTGGGGAGAGGGAGGATGTGTGGCCCTCGGGACCATTTTTTCTCTGGACAGAGACAGACGAGCTCTTGAGGAGCTGGGGGTTCCCTTGGCGTGCTGGAGGTGTCTGTGTGAGCTCCAGACGTCCCACCCGCAGCGCCGGCGCTCCGAGCAGCGCAGCTGGGAAGTCGCGCGTTAACGCTGGGACACTGGTCTGGTGGCATCCCCTGGAAAGCCGCTCGTGAGGCTGGTGGAGAGACAGGCGTGGCTGGAGCTGCGCGGGCGTCTGGGGTTTGAGGCAGAACAGAGACCGTGACCTGCCCCTTCCACGCACACACGACCGCTGCCCGCACCTCGCCGAGCATCCCCAGGGGCAGCCTTTGCCCCAGAGCCGGACAGCGATGCTCGTTAGCTCTGCTAGAATTTGGGGTTTGAGGCCACACAGTCCAATTCCTTCCCCTCTGCAGGGATAGAACCACCATTGGACTGGTTTTCCCTTTTCTTTGGCTCTCGCGTGCTCTCAGCAGCCCAGGGCATCACCTCAGGAGTTCCTCCCAGCCATCTCTCCCCCCCACGACTGCATGGAGCTGCTGCCAGGCTCAGCCCGGAGCGTTCCCTGAGCATCTCTTCCAGAGCTGCCTCCCTCACCATTCCTCCCAGTGCCAGCCCAGGTGCCCGTCGCGGTGCTGGTGACCCTGAGCTGGGCTGATGGGCCAGGCTCACAGCTGGGGACGTCCTGCTGTGGCCAGAGCTGGCCCGGGGCTCCGAGAGGGACATCCGTGGGACCACAGCTCCGAGCGTGGCGATGTCCCAGCGCGTGGCTGCTCCACTGGGCAGGAAGCCTTACTGGGCTGCTGTGGGAATTGGGCTCGCAGTGTCTCCATCAGCCTTGTCTCCAGGCAAGGGACAGTCCCCTCCCAGCAAGGGACCGTGCTCTGACCCTGCTGGCAGCGGGCTCTGCCCCTGCTGGCAGCTCCTCCAGGCTGGGATGTGGCCAGGGAAGGGACCAGGAGCCAGCTCTGGGCACACGCCGAGGAAGATGAGCGGTGGCTGGGTGTTCACGGTGCATGCCCAGGGGAGCGGTGGCCCAGGGTGTGTGTTTGCTGTCACATCCTGTGCAAAGTGCCACCGCGCGGTGTCACAGAGCCTGCCGCCGCCTGGGCTCCCCGCCCCGGGGTGTCGGTACCGATGCAGCCCCCACGGGTCCTGATTGCAGCCCCTTTCCTCCGGGGGTGCGTCCGGTCTAACTCCTCGGTCTCTGCAGGGGCAACCGGGACAGTCTGAACCGGGCCTCGGGCAGCCGCCAGAGCAGCACCGAGAGCGAGATCAAGTCCCTGGAGCCTCGGCCGTGGAGCAGCACGGACTCGGACGGCTCCATCCGCAGCCTGCGACCGCCCGTCACCAAAGCCAGCAGCTTCAGCGGCATCTCCATCCTGACACGGGGGGACAGCATTGGGAGCAGCAAAGGCAGCGCTGCCAGCAGGACGTCCCGGGCAGGTACTGCTCACCGTCGCTGTGCCGTGGCCGTATTGCCTCGCTGCCCAGCTCCCTCCCTTCTCCCTGGTCGACAGCAGGTCCCCCAGTGCTTGAGGACTGTCATTTCCCTGGGAGGGGAGGCAGAGCGGTGCTTGTCGGTGATGAGACTGCTCCACAGGAACCCCTTCAAACAGAAGGGACGGAGCCGGGAGGCACCCAGGCTGCTGTTGGGGCACCCAGATGTTGGGGCACCCAGGCTGCCTTTGAAAGGCGCCCGTTCCTCCTGCAGCTCGAGGTGCCCACACCAGCTCTCGGGATGCCTGTTGCCATTGCGCTCAGGGCTGCGCTCATTCCGATTATTGCAGCCGCCTCCGGGACTGATTCATCAGCTGACGGGAGCAGTTATTTGAAGATCTGTCCCGGCTGTGCGCAAGGCAGAGCTGGAGACTGTCTGCTTTTTAGCTTTTTCTGTATTTTTTCATCCAGGTCTCCCCTGGGAACAGGAGCCGATTGCTCTCCAGGCTTTATATAATGGCGAGTGATCAGAAACACCTAGGGGGGGAGCAGCAGGAGGAAT